ACACACATACACTCACACACACACACACACACACACACACACACACACTTGAGGGCAGGCTTATACCGTAGTACGTGTGTGCCGGGCCAGATCTGGTAAAATGGGTTCTTTCCTTCCACCCTGTGGATTCGGGAGACTGAGCTCAGGTCTGTTTTGGTAGCAAGTCTGTTTACACATTGAGCCATCTAACTGGCACCCCCCCTTTTTTTTCTAGAATCTTCAGTTTTATTTCCACATCACTTTCCATCACTCTGTTCTCTGATAATTTACCTTCCTGGACTTCTCCGCTCCTCATTAGGGTTACACTGGCCGTTTGGGATGCTGCCATCTGTAACCAAGGAACGCTTAATTACTAATGGAGCAAAATGGGCTATGTCTATGCCCTAAACCGTAGCAACATAGAATAATTGACCTGGTCTTTGTTTTTATGTATTTATTTATTTTTGATTTTTTGAGACAGGGTTTCTTTATGTAGCCCTAGCTGTCCTGGAACTCGCTCTGTAGACCAGGCTGGCCTCAAACTCAACAGAGATCCCCCTGCCTCTGCCTCCCAAGGGCTGGGATTAAAGGCATGTACCACCAACGCCTGTGTTTTTAGTGTTTTGTGTGAAAAGCTAAGAAGTGTGCAGAAAGCCTTGTACTGAGCAGGAAATAAACTTTTACAATGCATCTCAACAGAAGTACTGTGGGCCAGCAGGATAGCTCCCCTGGTAAAGGTGTCTGCCACCAAGCCTGATGACCTGAGTTCAATTCCAGGGACCCCACTCATGGTGGAAGGAGGGAAATTTTAGATTTTAGATTTTTTTTTAAATTTTATTTTATGAGTATTTACCTGTGTGTATACCTGTGTGCCATCTGCATGCCTGGTGCTGTCAGAGAACAGAAGAAAGCATCAGATCCCTAGGAACTGGGGTTAGCTGCCATGTGGGTGCTAGGAACTGAACTGGGGGGGGTGGAAGAATAACAAGTGCTGTTAACCTTCTCATTCTGAGGAATTACACACACACACACACAACAGACACACACACACACAGAGACACACACACACAGAGATACACACACACACACAGACACACACACACAGACACACACACACACAGATACACACACACACACACAAACACACAGAGACATACACACAAACACACACACACAGCGACACAGACACAGACACACACACACATACACACAAACACACACACACAGCGACACAGACACAGACACACACACACATACACACAAACACACATACACACAGAGACACAAACACACACACACACACATACACACACACACAGACACAGACACACACACACATACACACACAGAGACACAGACACACACACACACATACACACACACACACAGAGACACACACACACACAGAAAGAGACACATACACACACATACACACAGAGACACACACACAAACACACACATACATATACACACACACACAGACACACACAGAGACACACAAACACACATATACACACACATACACACACAAACACACACAGAGACACACACACATACACACACACAGAGACACACACACAAACACACACAGACACACACACAGACACACACACACACAAACACACACACACACATACACAGGCACACATATACAGGCACACACATACACACACAGGCACACACACACATAGGCACACACACATATACACACACACACAGGCACACACACAGAGAGACACACACACACATACACACGCACACACAGAGACACACACATACACACACACACACATAGACACACACATACATATCACACACACACACACACACACACACACACACACACACACACGAGCGTGCACGCCTGTAGAATTCTATTCTCTATGAGGGTGTTGAAGAACCACCTGGTTTTTTTTTGTATGTGTTTTGCCTTTTTGTACATATGTGCACCTTGTGTGTGTGTGTGTGGGGGGGGGTGTTGTGAGCCACCGTGCAGCTGGGACCCAAAAGCAGCCAGTGTTCTTTTCTGTTGAGCCATCGTCCCAGCCCTAGTACTCCAGTGTCTGTCTCTACAGCTCTTTTTAACAGCTAAGTTGCGCCACTTGTTTTAGTTTTCTAACAAGCTGGTTGGTTTAAAACAGAAGGAATGTGCGTTACGGTTCCAGCCCTGGGGCATTGCGGGGCCTCGGTCCCGAATGGAGAGGAGGAGGGGATGGTGTGAGC